AGTTGAATGCCTTTTGTGTGTGTTTTCTCTGGTGTTATGACAGACACTAATAGCACAGCGTATTCCATAGTTGGTATGCTGAGGCCAAGAGGGATTTGGAACATGATGTAACCTAAGTTTTTGTTTAAAAAAAACACATAACCCACCCTGATTAACAGGAAATAGCACTCAGTATTTAATCATTATGTAGAAGATGACCTATTGTCTGGAATTCCTTTGGATGGTATTTTCCCAAAGTGTGTGAGTGTATGTTTAAAATTAATAGCATGAATTTGAATGTACATAACTGGAAAGAATAGTGATCACTAGTGCCCTTTAGATACATTCTACTAACTAAAATTTTAGTTTATGAAGTTTGACAAGGCTGTAAGCTTCCAGAATCAGAATATTTAGGCACAGAAGGCAACTTGCTGCTTCCTCCTACCATGGTTATGTTTCAAGGCAGCTGGTTGGCCATTTGTAAGAGCTATCTGTCTAATGCCGCTCCTCTGCCTTTTCTCCAGTCCCCTTTTATGGTATGGCATATTTTTCTGAAGGTTGCTTTGTTCACCAGTTTATACTTTAGCTCTTCAGCACAATGAGCTGTTTGTAGAACACCGGTTATCCAGGTCAGTCGAAATACACCTGCTCAATCTTTCCAGCAATATGCAGATCTTTGCTCAAACGTTCTTTGCTCAAAAGTTATCCTATTTTTGGTATTGTTGCCTCTGTTCCACTATTGGTGGCTGTGCTTTCAGCCATTGCGCCCCAAAACTCTGGAACACTCTTTCTCGATCCCTCCGCCTTGCCCCTTCCTTGCCCATCTTCAGGTCATGCCTGAAGACCTTCCTCTTCGCCCGTGCCTGTGGTCACCTCCCCCCGGCTCGGTGTTGTGCTCTGCCACTCTTACGCTCTGGAGACTGGACCCTGCGTGAGGGGAGCTATGTAATTGCTAGTTGTTGTCCCGCTGAATCTGATTTCCCAGCAGACATCTTTCTGATTGCATGAAACCGCACAGCAATAAACCAGTTCCATCATGGATGTGACCGTATTACCACTTCTCTGGATTCATTTGACTGGAAAACCAGCCTTCAAAGCCAGCGAAGGCCCACAGGTTACTTCCACTTCTTAATAAAATGGAAGATTAGAGCTCAGGGAAATAATTTCATGGTAAACATTTCCAACTTTCAAACTTCAATTTAAAGTTGTTTAAACTTATTTTCAGAATAGAATGGGTTTGTTTAGATAAGAAACTATTACAATTGAAGAAGAAAACAGGGCAATCAGAATTATTTAAAATATCCTTCTGAATTTCAAAGACAATTTTATTTTGTAATATTGATTGGATTACAGTCATTTTTTAAAGTTAGATTCTGAGGAAGTTTTGAGCCTAACCCCAAATTAAGTGACTCATTCACACATTAGAAATTTACAACAAATGCATGTATTTTCCATCAAAGCAGCAAGCTTAAAATTGTACCAAGGTGCCATGCAATTTGGATGCCCATAGCTTTTATTACATTCTGAATAAACCCTTAATTAAAGTATTTACTGAAACTAATCTCAGTTAACTGGAAGCTTCGGAGTATAGAATACACAATTCTATTCTACTCTTTGAAATCATCTGTATTCTGTTTAATTGAAAGGTTAACTTGTTAATTATTCAACTGCACATTTAGTGCGCGGTATGGAATACAATAATTATCGCTTTAGGAAGAAGTGCTGTAGGCCTTAAACGACTTGGCGAAAGAAGAGGGTAGATTTCAAGACTGCTAATGATAGGTAAGTCAGTGTGGCAACAAGTTGTGCACCAAACTGTTTATTATTCCATAGTAGAAATGTTTCCTTAATTTTTCCATTGATACAAACGGCATTAAGTCTTATTCCTGAATGTGGTTTTACTATGGTATGTATTTTAATTGGGGGAGGGTAAAGCCTTCATTTTGCAAGTTTGGAGTTGTGATATGAAGGTGGAAAACTGTCAGCCTTGAGACTTATTTGGGTGCCAATGGATTTGAATTTGGGGAATTCGGAGAAACCTGAAGAGGCTATCTTAGAGTTCAACAAAAAACATTTTCCCTGTCCAATCGAAGGTTACAGAGCAGATCGAGTGATGCATCATTGCACTGTGAAAGGAATTAAAGTTGTATGCTTTGAAGCTGTGCTATCAGCAAAACGAGGTAATGATGATGAGTGGAGGAGTTGTTCATAAGAAGGAAAGGAGTGAAAAATTATGTTCGAAATGTGATGTACGTCTTTCTTTTGTGGGTGGACATGATGCGTAATAATTGCACCAGCAAGGATCCTAAAATGGTAATTACTGCAAATTCAAATGCGAGGAATGAGCACCACAAGCTGTACGCCAATGTAGCTTCCAAGCCTTGTCATTTGACAGATTAACTGGCACGCTCAAGCTGTGTTCATCAAGAAAAGGTCATGTTGCAAACAGGATTTTTAGTAAGCTCATTTTATTTCTGTTCTTTTGAACTGTATAAGAACTTACAAAATATCACAGCTTCATTTTAAAAGGGTCGTAAGAGGTTAAAAAGTATTGAAATCCCATGTGCTTTTCTGAACTGACTTGAAATGGTCTCTTTGCAGCTTTCAATTTCATGCGTATGTAGGCAACATTCTCCAGTATTTTTGTGCATTGTTCCAAGATGTGGTGGAAGTTTCAACAGTGAACAAAAGGAATCTTTGTTTAGATGAAAAATATTTGACAAAACATTGAATTCATTGCAGCATGTAACCCAAGGCACTATGTTATAAGAAATGGCATGCTACCCATATTCGAAAATCTTATTCAATTATGTAATCAGCAACCGCACCGCAAAATTTAAGCTGCTTTAGTTAGGACTTCTTGTGTGTGCAAGTTTGAGTGTACGGTAACTTCTATGGCATTGGGGGCTTTTTCAATGGACTAGAAATGTTGGGGCGAGCCAAAATGTTTTCACACACTGCACCCAAGTCCTAACATTTTACATTTTGGGGAGATATATAACTATTGTTGGTGAAGAGAAAAGGATACCATTTTGGAAATGTGGACACTGCTCTGAAAAAGATTTTAAAAAAAAACACCGTGTTCGGTGTCTCGGGTCTTAGACTGTTAAGGTTCCATGTAAGCATTGATCAACTCTCTGAACTTGAGTTTAAAATATGCTTGTAATAAATCTTCATAGAATCAATCCATTTGACCCCCCCCCGCCCTCTCTCTTTCTGTCTCTCTCTTTCTCACTCTTTTGCCCCTACCCTCTAATCTATCAAGTAAGCCACCTGGAAACGCTCCAGAAGGTAATTGCAGTCTAAAGTTGTTGCATTAATAAGGATATCCGATTAGAATGGGTCAATTGCATGTTTCTGAGAAAATTTAGTACATCTTGCCAACTGCAGTACTTATCTTCATTCTCTGTTTGTTCAAGCCAAGAAATAACTTTATGTGGATAATCTGTTTTATTTGTGGGCGTTTGGGATGTGTGAGGAATTGCTACTGCTACACTACTTATTGATTCCTCATTCTGCCTATTGAAGCATAAAACTCGGTATGTTTGTGTGTGAGATACACATATGAGTGAGACTGTAATTAGCTGTTAGTGGAATTTTATTATCTTTTTGGCTTCTCTGCTTGGACTACCTAAATTGAAATTTTTTTCTAACACTGCTAGTCAAGTGAAACCACCAACTATTTTTAAATTAGATCACTTTCCTGAGATGATACACTGCAATTATAACTGACCTTTGGAGTCATTCTGGGTGTGCTATTTGTTTATGTATTTCATTTGCATTTGCAGTCTATTCTCTGTCTCTGATTTGTTCTTATCAAATTCAATAGGGCTGTATTTATATTCCATCCACCTATTCATTAAACTAACAAACCCTTGATTTTTTTGACAGGTAAGGATATGCTTTTAGGCTATTTTAATAATAATAATTCCTTCAAAACAAAAATAAATTTAAAAACATCAATGATAATAATTTGGTCACTCAACCCATGACTGTTTGTGGGACACCGCTGTGCGCAATTGGCTGCCGTGTTTCGCCCATGAAATGTACAGTCGATTCACTTCACGGCATAGTCTCTGAAGAGCTTTGAGATGTTTTGAACACGTGATAAGGCGTTATATCAAATGCAAGAATTATTACTTTTGTGTTGCAAGCTTTGGCCAAAGTTATGCAGGATATTGAAAGCATCAGGAATCGCTGCTGAGATCATTCCCACATGCCACAGGGCTTATCCATTCCTCATTCTGCCTACTCAAGTGTGAAACTCACAAAAGTCATCACACATCCTTAAATGAACAATTGAAGCTTGATGGATGGGCTTCTTGAATATCCCATTTTATTTTTTATATGATGTTTGTAATTATAAGTTTGTTTAAGTGTTCTGAACAAGTTTTCATAGTTGTTTTAAACTGTAAAATATAACCGAGCAGGTCAATGGATTTTTTCTTATCCAGCTGCCTTTATGTTAGCACCATGGCTGTTGAGGTGATCTTCAGTAACCTGAATATCTGATGCTGGAACTTTATTGCATTCCCCCGTGGCGTAGTGTTTACTAATGAAAGAGGTCAGAGGATTATAAGGTGTTACCATTGAGAGAGGCTGGTTTTCAAAACTAGTTGTCATACTTGCATTCAAGTTTTGCATCCTGTATTGTGTTTCAGTTAAAATATACAGTATTTCTAACCCAGAAATAGCATCTGTTTTTCCATCTGGTCTTCCACGTGTCGGCATTTGAATAATGTGTGATCTATTTCTTTTAAAAGCTGTGCATGCCCTCACGTGACTCTCTTGTAATGACTCCCTGTTCTAAGAGAAACTGGAAGTAATTATTTAAGGAACTAAAAGTATTTGATTTCAGAATGAAAACTGAATGTGAATTTCAAAGTAACTATTTGGAGCGTTTAAATCTATAAATAGGTTCATCATGGAAAATATATCTTATTGTGTTGATCTGACATGCAGTGTTGCTTTGAGTGGAAAATGTTCTGCTTAATCTTAATCAACTTGTTTCTTTTAAACAGGGAAACATTGTTGATAATAGACTGAAAGGGGAATTAGCATTGCCAACTTTGGTGCTATATGGAACAGCTCATTTTTGACTATCGATGCCCCAAAATCCCTGGTAAGTAACATTTTATTTTTTCTGATGCCATTGTCTGGAGTTGAGAATGTGCAAAATGGTTTATTTTGGTTATCAGTGAAATCTGGATTTTATAATGTTTCTTCGTATTTATTTCTGAGCTATATTCAAACCAAAGTATGCTGGTGTACTTTGCAGTAATGCCAATAGGCAGCTCAAACATGCAAATACAAAACTACTGAAAAATCTTGAATGAGCAGCTTTCATATTTGCGATTTGGTACATTTGTTTGCTCCTGATTTATAAAAATCCTTCAGTTAATTACGTGCGAGGTGTGGAAAACATGTAGTGATTATTCTTAAAAGCTGCCGCGTGGGTAACAGCGCCTAAAATTCAGCACGTTTCTGTGAAGCCACAGTGCATTGCGGCCAGTCATGTTGAATGGCAATGTGTGCTACATTCCAGCATTGATCATATTTAACTTGTTACCTTAGTCACTAAGGCTTAGTGGATAAGTGGAGCAGTAAGTATCAGCCAAAAATAGCACATTGCATTGGCATGCGTCCCAACCAAAATTTCAACTTAGTAAATAACATCTTGCCCAGGATATGGAGTAGATGTTCTTTTTGATCTTTTTCTAATGCTTTTGTGCAATTTGGAATTCCTTTGCTAGTATTTTCCTTCAATCAACATTCCAGTAATAGCCTTCAATTGTCATATGTTTTAGCTGAAAATCCTGTTTAGAAGTTGAAGGCGTCCAAAATGTCACGCGTTCACTCTCAATTCTGACTCTCACTGCAACTCGCTCCCTTCAGGTGGGTACGTTTTACCAGTGAGTGTCCAATCAAACAGTTCCCCTCGCATCAGTCAATGAGAAGCTGATGGCTTAACCTGTCCTCATAGAGAGGATGGAGAACATGTGTTAGCAAGAATCTGCTGGGGATGGAAAGTGAAGAAGAGCCTAGGCCACAAATGTGAGGCTTTCGCCCACAAATATACGGTCAATTCACTTTACAGTCTATTCTGTGAAGCGCTTTGAAACGTCGAGAAGACGTGAAAAGCCCTGTATCAAATGCAAGGATTATTATTATTATGGGCATGACATTTGCCAAATGCATGTGCTGCATTTCATTGGTTTGTTCTATTTCTCCCAGGTTCATATTACTGAAGTAAATGGTTTTTAATTGATTTCTGAATCAGTTGGTTATTTGTAAAATTACATCCCCTTCGCTCTCTTTATAGACGGTAACAAGATCTAAAATTTGTATTGATCCTGTTTGTCAGCAGAGGGACAAATGTTAGTTGAGAAACTCTAAATATAACTCAAGTGAATAAATTGAATACAATATTGTGTGTATCTGTGCATCAAGCTCATTTTTGACCAGGTGCCTTTGGATTTACTCTGGGAAACAGTTTTGCCAGGATCTCTGGTTATTGGAATGACGCACAAGAATGAATACCTGCTGTTTTTTACATTTGCTTATTGCAGTTTTGCTAGCAGATAAAGTGGTACTATTTAATTACACACATTTCTCAGAATTAGTGATTCTCTACTAGAACTACAGTCATTATATCAGCAAATAGGTTTAAAGATTCTTGCCCCAACCTACAAATTGCTATACTTGCCTTCAAGAAGCTCATTTTCCTTTTTTACACGGTGTTTAATAACCCTTTAAAAACATATGTTTGGCATAATTTGGTCAACATCCTTAATTCTCTCTGTTCAAATGCTTCTTAACACATCTGTTAAGAGCTTTGAAATGTTGGGAAAGATGCTTTGTAAATGCATGTTGTAGTTCACACCTTCTTGAATACATCTCAGGACATTTCAGCCAAGCTTCTTGAACTGATTGTGAAAGGATTTGATTTGTTATCAGTTTGCACAAAACCTACATTCTATTTGTTTAAAAGTTGAAGGTTCTGGTATTTCTACTCGGCCCATTACCCTTTTGATGTTGATGAAATGAGTCTTTTTTTTAAAAAAAAGCCTCCCTGGGGTTGAATTGAATTGGCTCTAAGGAGACATCCCTGGAGAAGTCAGGCGGGGCTCCAGTACCCCAAAGCATGGTATGGTCTTGGATTACCGCAGGCTGTCTGGCTTTTCAATGAGAATTGGAAATGTAGACATGTTTTGAACCCTACAAGTCAAAATTCCCACACTTTGGGGTCATTTCGGCTGGTAAATGTAAAAATGCAATGATTCATTCAAATCTATTTTTCTCAATTTAAAACTGTAGTGACACAAAGTAGTGTGCTGATGGCTGTTTATTTTTAAAAGTTTAACAAATGGCTCTAAAATGTCGTTCCATGGGTATACAAGCAAACTAGTGTTTTAAATAACAATGCTTAAATATTATAGGCTGTAAACCCATCACAATTAATTTCCTGATCATTTCTGTACCAATTTCGAGCCACTCTTTGATTATTCCAAATGTAGCTAACTCCCCTTCCAGAAATAATAATCATAATAATAATGCTTGCGTTTGATGTAGCGCCTTATCACGAATTTGAGACATCTCAAAGCGCTTCACAGAATATATTGTAAAGTGTAGTGACTGTATATTTTGTGGGCCAAACACTGCAGCCAATTGCGCACAGCAGTGTCCCACAAACAGTCATTTGCATAGACATACACCAGATGGCTTTGAATCCTCGCTGCAAGGTGTTCATTTCAAGCAAAGTGAAATAATAATTCATATCCTCTTAAAAATGTTGATTGATTTCTAGTTCATTTTAAATAGTCATTCCAACAAGCAAAGGCTCAGAATTTCTAAAGCTGAGGTAGATTTACCAAAATTCTAACTGCCACAGAAGAAAATCTGCCAAGATAATTATCCAAATGTTATCCAAACTTTTGCTAAAAAGACTTGAATAGATGAACTCTTTCTATTCTACCAGGGCCATCATTTTGAATGTGTGTGGGCTGACAAGAACTACATATTCCTTTCCATCTGCATCTCATCTTTGTATCCCAGAAGAGGCACAAACTCATTATCAAAGTACTTACTCTATGACCGGAAGGTGGCGTTCAGGGGGACACAATCTTGGATCGAGGATAAAAAGAACATTTAAAAGTGACAATCTGAGAAACCATGATGCATGGAAATTACTTTCAATCTTAGAAATCAGAAGAAAATTTTAGCTTTTCTTTTCAAAAAGACAGACACAAATGAGCAGTTGCTTTTATCTGTGTTCTTGGCTGTTCTGACCAAGGGAGGTGCTGAATTGAAGTTTCTATTGGGAAAAAGAGGAAGAAAAATTGGTTTGTCAGACTCCTATTGTTGGTTCCAGTATGATGTTGGTAGAAGCATGGAAACAGGTTATTTGCCAGTCCATTTCACTTGGAGAATTAGAAAGGGAGGTGGAACCGTGTTAAGGATGGTATTGAAATTATTATTGATTCATTTCTATGCTGCACATACTAAAATCACTAGAATCTAATTGGAAGCAGATTTTTAAGCATAATTCAACTGCTGCTGTGTTACAAAATGAATGTCCAAATGACAGAACTCCGCAGTTAATGGGCATGGCTAGCATTTGAGTTCAAAAGCACAAGAACAGTTAATGAACTTATGTTGGAACAGTACTTGCTTAATGAGTAAATATATTATGTGGTCTTTCGCTGAGCCACACAAAACATGAAGGCACCAAGTTAAATTCCTAGTCTGTTCTGATTTGGTTGTTTGCAACCAGATTAGCTATTGGAACACTACGATTCACTTCAGTGACCTCAGACCGGTGGGTGTGGGTGGGGGGTAACCAGGAAGAGAGAGAGAAAAACTGAGTGAGATTATTGATGCTGTGATGGTTGCTGCAGTACTTGAAAGGAGAGTGGAATTCTCAGTGGCTTAACTTTGATGGCTAAAATAGGGAAATAACCTACTAACATTGTTTGAGCTCGCACACTATTGGGTGGCACAGTGAATGGCTGTAACCACCATGGAAAGGAATTCCAGCATACCACGTCAAAAAAAATAATAAATCGGTCACTCAATCCACGACTGTTTTATGGGACGCTGCTGTGTGCTATTGGTTGCTGCGTTTCGCCCCCAAAATATACAGTCAATTCATTTTAGAGTATATTCTGTGAAGCACTTTGAGATGTCGTATATTATTATATTATTATATAATTTATTATTATTATCCTGTGGTGGTAGGGAAGTGGTTAGAGATGGTAGGGAAAGGCAAAAAGACTCTTAAGGATAACCTTTTTATGACTTTAGGATTTTTAGTAGAGACGTATTCATAGGTAGCAGGGAAGTGTGTTCTCGAATTATTGCTACCTGTACATTTTACCATTGAAAAACAATAAACTTTAATTTGTGGGACACGGTGTGTAAATCAGCTGCAGTGTTTGCCTACAAAATACAAAGTAACGACACTTTACAGTACATTTAATTTTTTTTCTCATAACCTTCGTCCCTTATAACTTTCACCCCATTGCTAGATGGTGAAGGCGCTGGCTGACACGCGGGTTCAGTTCCACAGGTGTTGCTTGCCCTCTTTGTAAATGTCCAAGTGACCATTCTATTTTTGTTTGAACTGTGACTCCTAGGTCAGGAGTCAAGGACAGTAAGTGCAGATCATCACCAAGGTGGAAAAATTAGATAAATCAACTAGTAGTGATGTCAAACTTGGATTTCAAAAGTCTTTTGATTGTAACAGAAGGGCAGTCTTGGGCGCTACGATTGGATTCAGTGACCTTGGGTTAGGGAAAATCACTGGGGTTCCTGCTTCTGATTGCTTTCTAGAGACCCTTACTGGAAGTTGCGCTGCTTGGGAGTAAGATGAGAACAGCATCAAATTCTGCACTGATGCCCTCGCATCAGACCCTCACATATTAGGCTGTCAACACTCACTCATCTGTACATGATTAAAAGGCCGCTCGGGTGAGGTGCTTGAGGGCTGCTGACCTGTGGAACGGTAACCCAGCAGAATAGAGTTTGACTGAAAACACTTAGAGCCGAGAGGGGAGAAAACCGGAGATGATTAAATTCAATCTGGTCAACAGAAATAATTACTCGCACGTCATGGATAACATA